CTCCCTGGCATGAACAGCCCCCCCCCCGTGCCCCTTCCTGCCTGCTTCTCCCAGAGGGCAGTACCAGAGCTGCCTGCTGAGGTTGCACCTGAACAGCCTCCACCACAGGCTAGAGGCTTGGTCCCAAGCTGGGTGCTACCAGGATGGGGTGGAACTTTTAAGAACTGCAGCCTGTTAGGTAAAAGCCAGGACCAGACCAGGACTACAACAAACCTTTATCACGGGGAGGATCTGCTGGGCTGTCTCTGACCAGAGCAGAGAGAAGCAAAATGGCAGCCTGGGGAGCTTCTTTTATAGGAGTGGGGTGGGGTCAGCCTGAACTGGGGTGGAATTGAGTGAGGTAGTATTAAGTATTGGAGGAGCCTGTGACATCAGTAGCTGTTAGGAGGTAGCAAGTATTAGGTTACTTTTTTGGTGGGAGAAGAGGCATGATGGGAAGAAGAAGCCCGTCCTTTGTTGGGAGAAGCCATATTTTAACATGGAGGCTGCTATTCCATGTGGCAGCCATTTTAAGACAAGGGAAAACTAACAGGGCCCTGTCTTGGTCACTTTCCTTGTGCCTCAGACACAGTACTCAACACCCCCAACTTGAAGGAGGAGAGGGTTATTTAGTTTGGGGTGTGTGGAGCTTTCAGTCCAGGCAGCTCCCTCCAAGTCATGGTGGACAGGAAGCAGAGACCATGAAGAAGGAACAGGGGAGGGAAGTGAACGCTTCCAGGCCACACCCTGCTCTAAGCTCTCATAATCCAATTACCTTCCAAACACTTGAGGCTCTGGGGGTCATTTTAGAGCTAGGCCATGCCAGGCCTAGTGGGAGACATTTGGATCTCTGAGGTGACTTCCAAGGGGACTGTGAGACCCCTTCCCTTCCTCTTTCTGTCTCACTTTCTGACCACGAGGTGAGTGGCTTCACTCTGCCATGTGCTCCTGTCATGCTGGGCTCCTGCTGTAACAGGCTACCACCATGATGTGCTGCCTTGACACAGGCCTAAAACAACCAGACCAACTGATCATGGGCTGGAACCTCCAAAACAAGGATTCAAATCACCCTTTTCTTCTGTGAGTTGATTGATCTCAGGTACTCGTTATAGTGACAGAAAGCCCACTGATTTACCACCCTTCCTGTAGGGTCCTGGCCTCGGCAAGGCCCTACCTCAGACAGAGGAGGGAAGAGGCCCCTGTGGAGGGTCTGGAGAAGAAAGAAGAAAGACAGCATCTCCACTAGTTTCCTGTCCGTGACTCTGGAACAACTCCTGCTCCTTTTCCAGCAGCAAAGACAAGGGAAATCAAAACCAACAAACTAACTCTCATGGCAATTGATTTTTGTTGAGCTCACTTTATCCTTGGTCTTAGTGTATCATCTATTAAAAGATTTTGCCATTTTATGTCAACAGATTTAATGACTTTCAGTAATTATTTGGGCCAAGGTAATTTCTTTTGCAGTGAAAACAATAACACATTCAATATAGCAAATCAACAGAACCTTAAAACTGTTTTACTTGGAGGCTGAAGGGTCATCGCTGCAATCTATGTGTTTCCCACGTAGGCAAATTGTGACAAGAAAACACTAGGAACATGGGGGGAGTGATGTATTTTAAGTGCTTTCCTCAAGCACCTTTTCGTAAGGAATATTCGACCACTTCCAGAGAGAATGGGGAAATAGGGTCCTTACGCTTCAAAACTAAAGGCCTTGCACAGTGGCTCACTTTTTTGATATTTAAGACACTTTATATCTCTCTTTTTAGCTGAGCAACATGCAGGTTTCCCAAGCGTAAAGGGCACTGCCAAAGAGAGGCCTTGCAGACAGATGTCCGTGTCAATCAGAGGTCTCTGCTTCCGGGTGGCCTGATTCACAGGCAGCTTCCTGTCCATCCCTCTGCTCACTCAGCTCAGCTGTCCTCCATCTTCGGGAGACCTTGACAGAGCCAGCTCCCTGAACAAAGCACTTCTTCCTCTCCTTCACGTGAGGTCCCACTGTTCTGGGCTACACGCCTTGAGCTCTGTCTCCTCCAGCCGAGGTACGGCAAGTTCTGATTCTCTCTGTACACATTCCTAGAGCGTGACGCAGGCACCTTCTTCCCACACACTCTTGAAGGAGCCATTGTCTTAGTTTTATTCCCACAAAAGCCGGCCCTAAGGCCACCACTAGAGCATTTGGGAGGCAATCCCAGTTGGGGAGAGAAGGCAGAAAAAAGCAAATAAAGGTTTGCATCGCAGCAAATAGCAACTGTACGTGGCGGAGCACAATCCTTCGGGAAGCTGCACTGAACAGATGCCACGCCGGCATAGGGAGGGACGTGGTATTTATACGTCACGCCCGCCTCCACTCCGCCACTGATTGTGAATTCCCCAGCATTTCTGGGATGCCGTGTGGTGATGCGAAGTGGGTCCTTCTAGCTGTAAATGACTCTCATGCAAGGACACTCAGGCACCTGCAGCTGGGGGTCAGCAAGAGTTTCCTGGGACTGTGAGGAGGAGCTCGCAGGCAGGACACTGAGGGCTTGGGGTCACCACCATACTCTCTGCCTGTGTGTGGATCCCTCCACCTGTGTGGCCTGCTTCCACCCTAGTGAGGGCAAACATCTCATTCAGAGCTCAACGCTGATGGACTGCCAGTGGCGCTGCTACCAAAGACTCAGATTACGCTCAAGGTCAACAGGACACTGAGCTGTAGACGATCAGAGACCTCCGCCCAGGGATCCGGGTGAAGATGGAGTTGGATTATCTGTTTTCCTGAATCCAGCATTTACTCTCAACTGTGGTGAGCAGAGCCAATCCCCTGAGAGTGACAGGAAAGTAAAAATGCCACACTGTTTGTTATTGTGTGATTTCTTGATAGCAGCCATTCTTTGTGGGGTGAGGTGGAATCTCAGTGTTGAATGGCTGCTATCAAGAAATCACACAATAACAAATGTTGGCGGGGTTGTGGGGAGAAAGGAACCCTTCTCCATTGTTGGTGGGAGTGCAGACTGGTGCAACCACTATGGAAATCAATATGGAGATACCTCAAAGAGCTTGGACTGGAGGTTCCATTTGACCCAGCCATCCCTCTGCTGGGTATCTTTCCAAAAGAATTAAAAGAATCATATCACAGAGAAGTATGTGCACCCATGTTTATAGCGGCACAGTTTGTAATAGCTAAATATTGGAAATAGCCCATTTGCCCATTCGTTGGAAAATGGATAAAGAAGATGTGGTTTTTCTATAAAATGGAATATTACTCAGCCATAAAGAATGAGAAAATAGATTCATTCATAGGAAAGTGGATACATATTGAAGATATACTCCTAAGTGAAATAAACAAGTCACACATGTGTAAATACTGAATAGTTTCCCTGGTGTGAATAATCTGCAACAATGCATAAGATTCTAATAAGATTACTGACATTTAGAAATGGGAGGAAAGGAGCTAAAGGTGTAGGGAAGGTGGGATGGGTAGGGGAAGAGTAAAAAGGGAAAAGAAAAAATGTGAGATAATGAAAAGATAAAAATAAAGTATTTGTAGATGGGAAGGGGAGGAGGGGGTGAAGGGAGGGCAGAGGTAAGGGTAAAAAATGAGAATCAAGACTTGTCATGTAGAGGTACAAGATCCCAACAATGAAAGTAACTGTACTGTATCCCTAAAATGTACCAATAAACTCAATTAAAGCTGAAAAAAAAAAAAGCCACACCGGAAGTGGATATGCAATTGAGACTCTCTTACTCTGTTCACAGATGTACCATCCTGGGTGACTTACAAGGAGCACATTTATTCATCATAATTCTAGAAACTGGAAAGTTCAAGGTCAAAATGGTGGTGGATTTGGTGTCTGGTGAGGACAGTAACTTTCCTTTAGAGATGGTAACTTCTTTGTCCTCACATAGGAGAAAGGGTAAGCTGATTCTTGCAGTCAACTTATTTGCTTATTGTGATACTGAGGATCAAACCCAGGGCCTCTGTGCTGAGCTACATCCCTGCCACCCCCCTTTTTAAATTTTGAGATAGCATCTCACTAAATCACCAAGTCACCCAGGCTGGGCTAGATAGTGTGAGCCTCCTGCCTCAGCCTCTCTGAGTGCTGGGAGTACAGGCTGTACAGCCATGCTGGACTGGAGCCTGTTGGATAGAGGCACTAGCTACATCCTTACCTAAGCCCCTCCCTCCCAGAGGCCGCCTCCCCATACATCACACTGGGGGTCAGAGTTCAACACAGGGATGCGGGGAGGACACGAACACAGGAAGACCACAGGAAAGACCGTGTAGAAAGAACCTCCTTCCCCATCCTCCATCAAAGCCCTGTGTCCCCCAGAGAGGTAAGCAGGGCCTCGCCCCATGGTTCCATCCCAGCTCCTTCTCATCATGGGGCTCGGAGCAGCTACAGGGGGCCGAGGTCGAGAGAAAGAAAGTGAATTCTCTTGAGTCTCAGGAAATTTGACCTAAGCACTGAGTGTTCCTGTGATATTTGAGTTTGCCTTGGGTATGTCCTGGGCTGTCAATGATTAGGAAGTCCTTAGTGCCCCTCTGCTAGGGCCACCACTGCTATTTCTCCCCGGGGAAAAGGAGTTGAAGAAGGGACATTCTGGGACATCAAAAATCTCCCAAGCTGGGCAGAAGGTTGTAAGGGTGCCCCAGGGAGTGTGGCATCAGGGGCACAGGCATTCTGGGCCTTCCTTCAGTGTCTGCTGCTTCCTGGCTTGGTGATCAAATGTTTCTTTATTCTCTGAGTATCAGGCCCTTGCTGCTGCCTTATGAGAGCTCAGAGTGAGAGCCCTGTCCTTCCCCATGAGTGTCTGGACCACTCAAAGAGAAGCTGAGGTCTCAAGGTGCATCCATTTTCCTACAAATGATCCAAATCCACTCTTCTTTATGGTAGAGCAGTGCTCCATTGTCTGTAAATAGCGCATTTCCTTTAGCCACTCATCTGTCCATGGACACATAGCTTCCAACAATGAGCTAAAGTGAGTTGATGTAAAAATGGGTGTATCTGGGTCGGTGTAGCGTGATGGCTTTCATTCTTTCTAGAAGACACCTCGAGGGGGAAGGGTGGGCCATAATCTAAGTGAAGCAAATCAGACAGAGAAGGTTAAATATCACTTGGTTTCTCTTACAGGAGAAAGCCAAAGGATAAAGAAAGGATCATTGACAGGAAGTGGAGAGAGACTTTGTGGAGATGGGGAAGTGTTTTGAGGAGGGGGAAAGATGGCAGGGAGAGTGGGAAGGGAAGTATGAAGGGTGGAGGTGGGAACCTGTATGCAGCATTCACCTTGGTGAATGTTTCTTAGGTGTCACAAACAAACACGTGCTGAACAAAAGAGGGCGCAGGAAGGGCTGGTGTTGGAAGGGGCCCCAGGAGCACGAGCAGCAGGTGCTAATGGGGCAGGCTTCTTCGACACAAGGAGGTGGAGGTGGCCGTGTCCAGGAGGACCTGCTGACCGCCAGGTAGGAGGAGTGGACACCCCATGCGCTTCCCCAGGCCGTGGAAAATCAGCCCAGATTCTATCTGGCAAAGGTTATGATCACAACTGCATCTAAAAAAGAGGACTCTGGCAGAAGCATCTATGGGAATGAATGAACTATCAGAACATTCCTTCAACCCCTTTCCCTCGGTTTGCCAAATAAGACCAGAGTATAGTCCAAAGCTACCGACTCAAGTTTCCTAAGTGAGTCACCCAGCCTGATCCCCAAAGCTCCTAACCCACAAGGTCTCCCAGACATCCAGAAGCTACTGTAGACCTCAGCCCTCCTCTGGGCCTTGGCAGCAGGCCCATGTTCCCGCCCATGGAGGAAGGCAGAGAAGAGGAAGGAGTCAGCAGAACCACAGTATGAGGCTGTGGGCTGATCCAGGGAAGGGGGTCGGCCCAGCCGGGGCCACAGCAGGCCAAGGCTGCCTTCCAAAGCCAGACGGGCCAAAGGTACATGGATCCATGCAGTCGCTGGGCAACATGTTGGGGGTTCCTTCTCCCTAGAGGCCTCCCATCCCTCAGTATACCCCACTAGGGTTACCAGGAATCTGTTGCCCTAGAGCTTTACTCACATTGGTCTAAATCTTCTCATCTTGGGACCAAAAAATGCCAAAGGCCGTCACTTACCACCAGCAGCAACCACAGTGAAGTCATTTCAGAGAAATGTGTTGTCTGAACCACCAGAGAAAAGGACTTCACATTTTCCTTCCATAATGGCCTGGAGCAGTTGATGCTGTGCCCGGAAGCATCCCCTGGCGCCTCACCACACCCCTCTCATCTGAGGTCAGCAACACTGACCTCCCTGAGTGCAAGGCTGGGAACTGGGAGGGGTGGATGTGCAGAAAACATGCATAGCTTAGGAAAATTCCCAGCCACTCAGCCGGGGCCTTACAGAAGCAGGGATGGGGGCAAACAAGCTGGCTTGCTCCCGTGGGCAAGGGGCAAATGTGCAAGCAAAGGATCCTCACTTCCCCTCTGAGTGCAAGGGTCTCCTCTCTTTATTAACTCCTTTTGATGAATCTCCATGAAATCGCCTGGTTGTCTTTATGTCTCTGTCATTTCTGCAGTGTGGAGAGAGAACAGGTTGCTGGGAGTGCTAGCAACAGAGACAAGTAAGTCACTAGAGACTAGACAGCTCCTACTGAATGCCGAGAAAAGTCTCACTTCCAAAACATCCCGCAGAAGTCACTTCCAGGCACTTCAGTGCCACCTGGGAGGAAGCTGCCTTAGGCCATCACCGGCCAGGCAACTTTAGTGCAGTCAGTGCAGGTGTCAGATTCCCCAAAAGGTCCCTGGGGCCAGTGTGAGTCCCCTCTTCTCCTCTGACACCAGTGTGGGGAGCAAAGAGGTCAGGAGTGAGGAGATGCCCCCTCCCCTGGCAAGTTAAGCAAGTTTAAACGTCACCTGGCTGCTCTTATATGAGAAATCCAAAATAAAAACAGAAGGGCAAAATAAAAGAGAGCCAAGAGGAAACAGGGAAAGGGAACTTTTGTAAATGGGAAGGAGACCAAGAGATGGCAGTAGGAAGGGGACGTGAAAAGAATGAGGATGTTATCTGTGCGCACTGATTCCCCCTGGCGACTGTGATCTTTAGGTACTGCAAGCATGTACTAATAAAAAGAAAAATGTAAAAAGTAGAAACTTATTCAGAAAGCAGAGACAAATTTCATCCACTCCACAGATTTTCCCAGGGTTGCCCCGCGAGGATCGATGCCACTAACACCAGTGTCTCCTCCAGTGCTAATGTAGCACCCACTGTGGGCCTCTGGGGTCCAGGGGAGGGACGTCTCCTCCCTCCTGCTCTCGTTGCTGCCCAGACTGGGGTCAGAGGAGAAGAGGGGACTCACACTGGCTGGGCCCCTGCTTCCCTGCAAAGCAGTTTTCTTATCTCATGTGCACCTCATAACGTTTTGTTGATTTTATTTAATAAAGAAACCCAAGTTCAGAGAGCTTAAGTAATTTGTCTGAGTATGCACATCTGATAAGGGTAGGACCAAAATTGGACCCAAATGTGTCTAACCTCCCACGTCAAGTCGTCCCACCAAAGTCAATGAATTTGTTTGCTAGTTTAAAAGCATGCTGTTAAGTAGCAAAGAAATGAACCCCCCTAGGTGCCCATCAACAGCTGAATGGTTTAAAAATGTACTATATATGCACAATGCAGGAGTATTCAGCTACAGAGGATGAAATTATGTTGTTTGCAGGAAGATGGTTGGAACTAGAAGTCACTATGTTAAACAAAATAAGCCAGACACAGGAAGACAAGCATTGCATGTATTCCCTAATATGTGGAATAAAAAAATAAAGATGACATGAGAGTAGAAGGGAGACTATTATTAGACAGAGGAAGAGAATAGAAAGCAGTAAAGGAAGGAGTAAGGGAGGGTAACAGAAGGATGATATTATATACATGTATGAAAATACCACACTGAAACCCAATATTTTGCAAAAGCAATGCATACTATTAAATACATATCTATTTTTTAAAAAATGATACCACTCTTCACCTGCCTGCCTGCCTGAGATCACCCAGAGGGTGCGCGACCTCCCGGACTGTGAGCCACCAGACCCAGTAAGGAAGCTAGCCGTGCGGGTGCCCTTGAAACACCCCCACGACCTGCTTCTCCTCCCCCAACCCCGTTCTCAAACCTCCTTTTTGGGCCAGTCCTTGGACCAACTCTGCAGAAACATAGGTTCTCATGAAGGGTAGTTTTCTGAGCTCCCAATTTTAAACATCTTTAAAGGAAGGGCAGGGGAAACCTGTAATAGAACTGAGTGGAGTTCAACCCTGAGGGTTGGGAAACTCAAGTTAGGCCTTGTGGACTGAGTGCAGTCTCAGGCATGGGGAACTGCCATTGGCTAGCCGAGACCAGGGAATTCAGTTCTGCATATAGCTGTACATGTGGTATAATATGAGAACAGAGACATAGTCTGAAAGAGGCCCTTTAAATTCTTTTTTTTCTCTCTCTTTTTTCTTTTCCTCATTCCACCCTAAAATTTCTTTCTTTTTTCTGTCCTCTCTCTCCAACTCAGTCTCTTGCTCCACCATATTACCCCTCATCTCCCTTTTTATTCCGGCTCCTGCCCTAAATCAGACTTCTTCTTTTATTATTTTTTCTTTGGCGGGGGAGTTTCTCTTTATGTTCTTTGCTCCAGTCATTATACCTCACTCATGGCTCTGTACCTTCAAGGGAAGGCAAGTGCCTATTATTGTTAAGGGGATATATTCTTGTCCTTATTCCTGCACTCTCTCTATCCCCCCTGAAGTTAATAGCTTTGTAAAGATAGTAAGGTAATTCTACATCCTCTGGATTCACTTCAAACCTGCTCCAGTTCTTTCACTTATCTACTCCTCTTGTCCTCACTCAGTCTAACCCCCCATGAGTTAGACTGGTAAATGGTAAAGATGCTATATTGAAAAGCATATTCACTGCAAACACATTATGGGCTGCTTCTTGATATTAATTTAATTAACATGGGTTAAAGGTGATACATTAATGACTACCACAAGTGGTCAGTTTGCAAGCTGTACCTGATCCTATTGGGATGCTGAATGTATCAACTGGGATAAAGGGTTGCGATTGATTTAAAGAGTTGTTTTCTCTGATATTATGAAAATGAGGATGTCTATGAGTCATTAGAAACTCAAAAGCTAAAACGCAACTATATCAGGAAGATTTAAGTAATACCAAGAAATTAAAGAAGGACAACCCAACAACAAAAATAAAAATGAGAAAACACTTAAGCAAGACACAAAGACAGATTTCCAGTTCACCAATGGCAAACAGTAGGAAAAATGAGGATGAAAAGTCTGATAGTGAACAAACAGGACACCCTGGACCCATAGCATAGGAGGTAACAAAACAGATCAATCAGGCTCTAGAAAAATTCAAATCAGAAATAATTTCCCAGTTAAACAGAGAGATGATGAGCAAAATGGAAGTCATGATTTGAGACTCTAGAATAGAAACTGACAAAAAAATAGATGAGCTCAAGACCATCATAGAAGCCATGAAGACTCAGCATAAGAAAGAAATGGAAACAATGAATGCCCAACAGAGGAAAGAAATGGAATCCATAAAACAGATTCAAACAGATATCCAGGAGATTAAAAACTCTATTGAAAGTGTATGCAACAGAATAAAAGATTGCGAAGATAGAATTTCAGATATAGAAGATAGGATCGCAGTCAGTGACCGTGAAAAAAGAGGTCTCTCAAAAACAGTAAGGGATCATGAGAAATCAATCCAACAACTTCTAGATGATGCAAAGGAAAAGTGATACCAAAACATAAATTCTATAGAGTTACAGGATTAAAAAACTCAACATTAAAAATACAGCAGTGTTTCAATACACTGAACTATGCAAAAGAGAAAGTAAAAAGACCCTATTTATAACAGATACCCCAGAAAATGTCAAAGTGCTAAAAGCTCCATACACTGGAAAGTGTATGGATGAAGGAAGTTGAAGAGGAAATAGCTAAATGGAAAGATATGCATGTTCCTGTGTTGGAAGAGTTCATATTGTTAAACTGTCCATACTACTTAAAATGATGTGCAGGTTTGATGCTAATAAAATTCCGATAACGTTTTTCCACAGAAATAGAAAAAATAATAATAGTAAAACTCCTTGGGAACTACAAAGGACCCTGAAAAGCCAAAACAACCCTTAGTGAAAAAGAGCAAAGCTGGAGGCATCACAGTGCCTGAATTTAAAATCTACTACAAAGCTAAACAGTATATAAAACAGAAGAGTCCTGGTGGGAAAAAGGACAGGATGGAGCTCAGCGGCATTGCGCCTGCCTGGCAAGCACAAAGTCCTGAGTTCGATTCCCAGTACAGCAAGATAAATAAATAAATAAATAAATAAATAAATAAATAAATAAAAGGACAGATAATGCACTGGAGAAGAAAGGAGAGTCCAGAAATGGATCTACACATTTATGATCAGTTGATTTTCAACAAATATGCCCAGAAC